AATTTCAATATCAGTTTTGCCAGGAGTAGCTGGATTTGCTTGACTATTCATTATAATTGCACCTAATAAGTCATCTTTACAGATTTGCTAATGATAAACTACTCGGTTCATTATTTGAAAATTTCACTAGAATCTACTCAACCTTTTCATCCGTGATCTCTGTGGCAACAAAAAAGTATATTTTGCTTGCTTCTGTTTTTCTTTTAAAAGATGTGTTTTGCATCAAAGTCATCATCTTCCTTTTCTTCAATTGCTGGCTTGTTGCATGTGATACGTTGTGCTACCGTTTCGGCAGTTTGATCCAATCTCATGGTTTTCACTTTAAATTCCTCCTCGCCTAAGGTAAAAATTTTGAGGAATACAAAAAACCTATCGTAATCTTCCATAATACTCAATCAACCATGTTTCAATCCAACTAGGCTCTGTTATTCAGTATTTGCACATTCCAAAAATTCAGTATTCAGAGGATCACTTGGTCTATTTTCATGCTGGCCATCAATTTATGAAACCTTCTCATTCATCTACGCTTAGACCAGCTATGTTTAAGAAGCTCACATAAACAGACCCAGTTTCATTTCCCACAAATTAAAAGAACTTGATTCAAGCGTTAAAACTGCTAACTAGGTGAGGCCAAAACATAAATTGCATAATGACTTTATGTTAGACTCGAGAAGTCCATTTTCGTTATTATCAGCATTTTGGATGGTAGTATAATGTTTTGAGAGAGAAAACCATGCACTCTTAGACTACAGGATCTATTCCCCAAATTGCGAACTACTTTGTTTTGTGGTTTACCCAATTATTCCTATTTTACTTTCAAATGTTTATTTTTCCTCTTCAGGAGCATGAAGGCAAAAATCATGTCAACCTACCCTGATGCACTTCCAGATAATACAACAATTCAGGCACTCGATCAAAGACCTGATCTTGAAATGCCACGATAAGTTTGGTACTGTAAATGTTGTTTCTTCTATTTCTTCCATTCTAGATATGGAAAATTTGGCTTGGGGTGGATACTTTATGATAGAGCTTAATTGTTTTCTGATAGTTCTGCAGCTGTATATTTCAAAGCGTGCTACGATTAGTCGTGGTCTCTCTTGAACGGTAGTTCTAATCTGATTTGCACTTTGCGCGAACCTTTTTGGAGACAAGGCACTGATATGTTTATTACAAGGATTCTGAGCCTCCCGGTAAAACTTTGATTGATGACATGAAAGAGCAAATATTTCGTTCTTGAAATCAAAATGTATGCCTTGTTATTATTAAATGAGGATTTTTCCCATGCTTATGGCATTTTTCATCTCCGTACCCTTTTGCCAGTGAGGTTGAAGGATAACATCGAGGTAAAACTAGTTGGCTATGTTAAATCCAGTGCTGATTGAGCTTAGAATTGTAATGCCCTCAAAAGAACCTAGGACTTCCAATCTGATAGAGCTGAGAATTGTAAACGATCCTAACAAACAATGTGTTTAAAGTAACAATACGATACAATGCAATAAGAAGAGACGATATCCAAACTGTTTTGTCCTCCTTCATGTTCCACCTATCTGACTTGCCGTCTGTTCATCAATTTGAAAAGATTTAGCAAGAAGATCAACAGGAATGGCTGGAGTGGATCCAAAACACAGCAGTAGAAACACGAGTGAGTTCAGAGTTTTGGCTGCTAAAAGCTGAAAGCGCAACAGCATGAGCGTCTCTTACATTTCGCTGGAAATGGACGAGACCTTGTGGCAAGAACATCACCAATTTCAAGTAACTTTGTGATGAGACGGTTCTCAGGGTTGGAGGTAATAAATCCGACTTCCAGACAACCCTCGAGGAGTAGCACCATTTCCGTTGCACGAGGATGAATATGAGGAGAGGTCAATCCAAATGGCGCGAAATCTCCACGAGTCATTGTAATGCCAAGTGTGTTGAGTCCTGGAATGGTTGTCTTAGTCCCAACGTTTCCAAATGGGTTTGATGTGTTGCCTGCTATGTGCAACCCACTGAAAAAGAAGTCCTCTGCTTTCACTAGCTTAGGGTCCTTGCAAACTTTCCCGTTCACATGTACTGCATGTCATTTTTTTACAGAGTAAGTACATATTCATGGATAACAAGACTCTATGTTACTCCCTCAGTTTTATTTTATTTATGTGAAGCTAGTTGATTGGGTTCGGAATTTGAGAAAGAATGACTAGTTATTGGAATTTGTCCGTCTACATGTGACTATAAAATCTTAAAGTTAAAATATTTTTAAATATAAAAAGGTGTCAAGCTTTTTAGGATAATACTAAAAATTAAATAGTGAGACAAAAAGGAACAAAGGGAAGGAAAAAAAAA